TTGTACTGAGATGAACTGTAACTATAAAGGACCAAATGTAAATGGAAAGGAGCATTTATAAAGGTGAAATGAGTTGTTTTCTGCAAACGTCAAAATGCAAATCAGACCTGATGGTGGAATAGAAGCCTTGAAACTTACAAACACAGAAAACAGGTAAAAAAAATCTGATTGGGAATCCAAATTTCTTCAGCCACAAGGCAGAGATTGTAATGAAGGCAAGCGGGCAAATGCATGTACTGTTGAAGCTAAATTACCTGAATTCATAACATCTATAGGCTCATTAACTTTCAATAGCAGTGTTATATTATTCCTCACAGGAAAACACTCACATACAGACTGATGGACCTAAGCTGATCTTATCAACAGTTAAAGCAATGCATCACGTTTGAGCATAAACATAGAAAAGCATCTTGCACGTGTCTAGAAAAGGCTGTCTTCGCTGAGACATTTGTCAGCGAAGAAAGGAATTGATAGAGAAAATTTGTATTACTTTCATGAAAGGGTGAATATGATGAAGGAAATCAGCATTACAGAAATTGTGTAGTTTCAAAACTGATCACGACTTTTCTCCAGCGCTGAAAATCCACTTACGTTTCACCTCAACTGATTGAGGAACATTGAAGGAGTTGCCAGAGGCTGTTCTGAAGACTGTTTTGCACATAATGTGATTGTCAGATAAAAGGGAATTCAGAAGAATCCATAACTTTCTTGTCTCTCTGACTCTTAGACGTGTGATTTCTCATGAACACCTTTTATAAACATCATAGAATCATAGGATGGCCTGGGTTGCAAAGGCCCACAGCGCTCATCCAGTTCCAGTTACCTGCTGTGTGCAGGTCACCAACCAGCAGCCCAGGCTGCCCAGAGCCACATCCAGCCTGGCCTTGAATGCCTGCAGGGATGGGGCATCCACAACCTAAATCTAAATCAACAAAGTATCTCAAACTTAAAGTTTTTTTCTGTTTCTCATTGCTTCTTGTGAATAATAATAGTAATAATAATAAAGCTTTAAAGAGCATGTAAATCATCCACCTTCCTGCATTCATCCCTTTCTTATCACAGGAGCAACTCAAACAGGCCCATTAGTAAGGGAGCAGGAACACTTATATCTCTTGTGGCCAGCTTTCCTGTAGCAGTAGGATACTCCTCAACCAATAGCTTCTGCTTATTATTTTAGTCCTTCTTCACAGTGCTTCTGTAGTAAAAGCAGAACCTAAAACAGTGGAGTCAATGACAGTGATATGGATCCAGTGAAGGCAAAGATACTGTTGTAATCTAAGAAATCAGAAAAAAACCTTCGATGCCACTTTCCCCTTTGAAATGAATGAAGCTACATTTGTGCCTGGGGACAAAGCTCGCTTGTGGAGGTGAGCTTTCGGCTTGAGATGGAACGTGTGTCAAGAGCAGGACTCTGATCCTAGTTGGGTCCCTTCCAACTCAGGATGTTCTATTCTGTTCCACCGTGTTGATTCAAAACATTGCAAAAGTTAATGTTTAATGAAGTAACTCTACTGTGACACCACAGAAGTGGGATAAACATTAATATTCTTGAAGAGCCTTATTCAACTATTTGGAAGGCTGGCATGCTCTCAAGACACAGTCTGTAAATCCATCCAATCAGAAGAGGAATATTTGTAGTTCAGACTTCAGTGGAATGAACTCAGGGTTGTAAATGATACCAGGCTGTTCAGCAGACTAGTGGCATGAACTCAGGGTTGTAAATGATGCCAGGCTGTTCAGCAGACTAGTGGAATGAACTCAGGGTTGTAAATGATGCCAGGCTGTTCAGCAGACTATGTTGGATCTCTTCTAGGAAATGTCCCAAATCTGAGTAATGCCTAATTAGCCATCAAACATGATCAAAAGGGCCCAAATTATCTATTTAGCCTGTCTGAAATATTTTCTTTTCAGGTGAAATTAATTCTCTTGGAAGTTCCTATTTCTATTCTCTGTATTTCTGAAAGAGAAGCACTATTGGTTAGATCAGACACAGAAATCTATGGTTTATATCTGTTCAGATGAATGCCACTGTTGATGATGTCTGAGGGTATTCTTTTGGAATGTTTCTCATTCTTTACGTAATGATATAACTCAGACTACTCCCTTATCTCTTGTTTTGAATTGTTTGGAAGACAAAGTCTTTTCACATATTTATATAAAGGCTGTGATATCTTACCAATACCATATCATTACATAGGGCATAAAAGTAGGATGTGAAACCCAAAATCTATTTTAAGAATACATGGTACAACACACACACCAGTTAGTTGACAGATCCAAATGTGCCATAATGCTCATCATGGAGCACCCTCAATTCTTCCATTCTATTTAAGTAGTCATGATTGAGCTGAAGCTAATAGGGGGATACAAGGGAATTTTTTAGATGCTGAAGACTATCTGCTCCAGGACATGTACAATTTGATTACACTCTGCAGCAGTGAGATGGTTATGTAATGAGTTCTGGACATTGAAATGAGGTTTTGTAGGTGGCTGCTTCCCATCAACCGTCAAGTTTATATCAGAAACAAGGCAACCAAAGACAAAGATGGGAATGACAGAGACAGCCTTCAGCACTGTCATCAGCACTACTTCCTCCTACAGACAGAGTTTCCACTTTGATGTAAGGCTGCAAGATCAGGATCCATTTACTGAACACAATCAATGAAACACAGATATTGGAGTATGTGACTATTGGAATGCTCTATCTTCATGTCCCTAAATGTATGTAATTGACTTGTGGGTACCATATATATGTGTTGGCTGGACATCAGCTCACCTCACTGGGAAAGCCATTGAATTTCCCTTTCTTCTCACACATAGTCAAAAGCAAAAGAAGAAGGTCATGGGGAAAGCTGTATACATTCTATGAAGATGTCAACATGAAGTTTGCAAAATAAATTTGTAAATATTTTATATTCCAGGTACTCTGCTACATCAGTTTTCTGACACACGTGTGCTAGAGCACAGCTTTTGTTTGCACTCTCAAATAACAGATCCCTGCTCCATCCACTGCACAGGTTGCAATGGACTACAATTGAGCAAACAAGAATATATTTTTCAAGTCATTATAATTCTTACCTGAAAAGCCCAGGCTTATCTATCCTGAGTCAACTTTCTAGGAGTTTGATGCCTAAACCTGAACTACTTGATACAGTCTCTCATTGTAAACAGTGAAGAGAAATGTATACCTATAAAGCATTATGCATCATTTCCTAAGAGCTGATAAAAAGTGATGAGGTTTACCATTTTCTTAAGATGCACATAATTTCCTATTAACCACTAAGGCAGTGAAACTTGATTAACTTTGGCATGCATTAATAGTTTTACAGTATTTATAGCCTGTGTGTTTATGTACCTACATTAAATTGTAGATATAGAGCAAAAATCTCAGAAAATCCTGCTTAAATGAATTTGATCCACATAAAATGTTTAATACCTATTGAAAGGTACTTTTCCAAACAATATTTCAACTAGGAGTCTCTGCATCCCTGAAAGAACTTAACATAAGGATTGCACACATATATATTCACTTGGAAGCACACAATGCAATTGAAAAATAAGAGATATTCATGGTTGAACCGTGGTTTAAAAACAAAAACAAACAAAAACACACATTATTCGTGATTTTGTTCTTGTTTAATTACTTCCTGTGCAAATGAAGGGGCTCAGAGCTCCTTACAGTCATGCAGTGCTGGCTGTCTGATCCTGTGGCACAGCAAGAACGATCAGTATCTCTTTAACAAAGCTCTGCTTCCTTTCTTTGAGCTGTTCAAATGATATACAGTCACTACGAAGGAAAAATGTGCATACGCTCACTGCAGCTTTGCCACAAAGAAGTTTGATTCCATGACAGAGTGCTACATTCTTCTTTATTCCCAAAGCTGCAGGCTCATCTTAGAGAAGAAAGGCCTGAGATAATCTTAAATTTTGTCCAAACAGTGGCCTTTTTACTTAGAGAGCTGAACAGTGCCTGGAATTTTATATTAAGATTACCACGGCTCTGTCCAGAAAATGTAGTCCAGGTAGTAGAATGAGCAGGGCACCATTCCTAAAGCCTAACTGGGGTCAGTCACTCGGTTTGTTGAGCTGCATGCTGCAAAGAATGTAACTTAACCTCTATTCTGGGAGATGTTTTCCTGAAATAAAGTCTCCTACCGTGCAATTTTGGCCTAAATATGGAATGATCAGAGCCAGTAGTCAGCATCACATGAGTAAAACATTTTCTCCCCAAACAGAAAACATTTAAGGTTCAGTACAAAGTTTGACAATCAATGTGAATCTCAAGGATAAGTGACCACACTCTCATAATCTTAATGAAATTGAATTAGCTCTTTTATTCATGAGAAAGTTGATAAGCTGAGCTTTTTAAAACCATTTAAGAAATCTGGCGTCTGAATTATTTCTACTTGTCTGTGCCAAAGGAAATTCAAAAAGCAATAATTTAAGTTGAAAAAACACAGCTTGATGTTTTGACAGCTAGGAAGATTCTTTTTGCCTTTCTTTTGGAGAAACAGAATTGTTTTATTTTAGAGCAGCAGATCACAATGAGAACTCGTGTCCTCACCAAGTACACTTCATTCACCACGAAATAGAAACACAGTTCTCTTTTCCCAACTTATCCTGTTACCAAGAAGTAGGAGATCATTCATGTTTCCCATAAGAAGAGAAAAGTTTGAACTGTTCAGATGAAAGCTACAGCCTGGAGAAGTAGATGGACTGCAGGAAACACAGCTGACTGTAGCTCTGTTTTGCAACACATGCAACAAATCAGACTACATGAGATTTCCTTCTTGGCTACTTTCTTAGTTAAAAGTAAGAATACACAGAACGTATCTGTAGCTAAAGGAGTTGTTTTGCATTGCAAACTGAGAAATATTTAAACCAGTATTTCATACACAGAAGTAGCCTGGGAAATAGAGGTGGCAATATTGGCCCGTACCGTTTCCTTCCCATAGTGGGTGTGACGGTTGGTTTGCCTGTCTCTTTTTTTTTGGCTGTATCACCCAGACCCACAGAACTAGGCAGCTCAGTTGAAGGCAAGCGTCCTTTATCAGGTCCTTGCAGCCTCCAGCTCTCCCGCAGTGCCTTCAGCCCTTGACACCAACATGAGGTTCAAGTTCTCCATCATCGCTCTTCTTCTGGAAGCGCTCTTCATCGTTTTGTTTGGGCTATTTGTGGAGTATGGCGATGGGGACAGCTATTCGTATCCGTGTAAGTACTGCCGAGATTCACAGAAGTTAGAATTGCTTTCAACTAATCCTAACCAACACTTCTGAATAACTTAGGGGATCAACTAACGTAGCTTGAAAAGAAAAACAGACCGTGGGGCAAGGAATCTTCTGAAGGGTGAAATCAGTAGACTTCAAAGACGAATTCAGGTTGTGCACATGCTGGAAATGATCCCTGGCCCACCGTGAGCCAGGCTACAGCTACGACTGCACAGCAATTTAGCATCTCAGACAACTGTACTGTAACATGCTGCTATATACATATGTAATGTTATATTGCTGTGTAACTATATGGTAGTTACACAATTGTACTGCAGCAGTAATAATACAGCTATTTCCTAAGATGCCTCTTCACCTACCTCTTCTCTGGCTGGCCTCCAAAACAACACAACAACAGCAAATGACTTAACAACAGTGTCTGGGGAGTCCTGGTAAAATTTAGTAAGCCAGAAGGATGTTTTCTAGGTCATGTATCCTTCAGATTCAGATTAAGGTCCATTGTCCCTACAAGAAAACAGAAAATTGCCTTCTCCTGAATGTCATACCTACTGGTACTAACTTGTCCTATACTTTCTTGGTGTTCCTCTTGCCAAGTAAAATGAAGAAAGGTGTCTAAGATCCTTGTGCTTATTGTAGCAGTTAAACAGCCTTAAGTGGCCATTTACACTTCTGTGATAACTGTTACGGAACTTCAGGTGTTCCGAAGGGAGATATCTGTGCTATCTAAAATGCAAGCTATTAAATTAGGGATTGCCTAACATCTTTCATTCTTTAATCAGGACAGAAAGTTTGGCTTGTTTCCCCTCTGTCTGCCTTCCTGCACAGGCAGTGTATGACTGTGCTGTAATCTGTGCGCTGTACCAAGTTGTTTACACTACAGAACCGCTAGCAAGATTCTGGCTCAGGTAGAGCAGCACTTTGACCTCCTCCTAGGCATAGCAAAAAACAGAGGTTGTTTGTGATAGGCAACACAGGTGGGAAAGGTGCTCTGGGAGGGAAGAGCACGTACAGATACAAGTCAAGCCATGCCACGTGCCCTTAGGCCAGAGGACAGCTCTGGGCTGTTCAGTTTACTAGCACAGACGTAAACGAAGAGAACACCACCGACTTGATGTTGGACTTTATGATGCTGACCTGGCAGTATGTAAATCTAATCCTTGGTAAACAACTGGAAGGAAAGAAGAAGAATGTCCTAACACCTGTATTTTCACTCGTAGACCCTCTTCTTCTCAAACATCCCTATCTGCAAAGTGCATACCAGCAGTTTGCAGAAGCACCTGACAGGCAGTTAATGGCAGAGTTGTGTAGGTGATTTGGGACATATCCTGAGCCAAAAATTTCCCTGAATTCCCATACTGATAGCTTCAAACTTCCTTCCATGTTATCCCAAGGAGCCCTGAGTTGGTAACTTCACCTGTAGCTCACAGGTTTAGTTACATCTTCCAGTTACATCTTGCACTCTCAAAACTGCAAGGCAGGTCCTGACTGCATGCCTTAAATATCTCAGCACCATAAATCCAAGATTTTTGGTGGTTTTGGACTCATTTATTAGAATGGTGAAAATAATCATTGATGACAATTGCATTTTTGCACTAAGATAAGGGGAACTTAGCTGAAATTTTTCTCCAAACAAAGCTTTTCATTCTGTTTTTGGAGGAAGTTATTACAGGCAGACTTGGATGGTCAACTTTAGGTTTTATGCCACTAAAATGGGAAGACATGGGTTTGAGATGATTCCACAGGTACTCCTATGGAATTTCTTCAGTGCTGGCATTATTTAATGTATTGCCATAGACCCATGATTCATCTTGCTAAAAATATTCTGGATCCCTTCCCTTCAAGTTTGTAAGGTAACTGCTTTCAGCAGAACAAAGCTGCAGTTTAAGTATACACACAGCTGTTTAAGTGTATTTGCATTAAGACTCACGGTCATGCATTGACCTTGTAGGGAAATTAGTATGTTGGTCTTTGGCAGCCTAGGCAGAATCACAGGCAGTTTCTTTGTTCAGGATCTGCTGGAGTATTTTTCTCTTCCTGCCTCACAGAATGTAAGAACCACACTCTGTTAAACACAACTAGTTACTGAAACAGATTATTTCAAAGTCCTTTGCTTTCTTCATCATTTCAAATCATTCTAGACCTACTGTTCTTTAGCAGAAGGTGCAAAAGGTAGCTTGAGCACAAGGAATGAGCTAGATCAGTTGCAAGTCTTCACTCAGCTTGTGAAATCGATTACAGGTCATATTTGGGACTGGGATAAGATTCCTTATAGTACACTTCAAGTGAGAGCTGAGCACAAAGAAACCCCATAGAAGGGTAGAGCAAAAATTAAGTTCCTCCATCAAGGTGTCTTTGAAACCTGTTCTTTTGCTCATGTGTAATGTCAGGTTACTTAGACATCTCCTACAGTAGGTAAGATTGAGTGAGATGCTAAATACATGAATCCTGCATAAGATGAATACCACATCTCTAAGCACCCTGTGCCAATTCTTCACCACTTTCACTGAAAGACTTCTTCTTTATATCCAATCCAAATCTACTCTCTTTAAATTTGAAGCCATTTCCCCTCATCCTATCCCACAGACCCTAATGGTTCCTCATAGAAAATCATTTCAAAAACAGAAGAAAAAAGTTTTACAGAGGTTCATACAGAGAAGCACCACTCAGAAGATTTACTTTAATAAGGTTCTTTTCCTAAACGTTCCCTACCAATTTTCTCTGGCACAAGGATACAGGCAAGTTAAGCTGTGTTTGCATCCCTGCACTCAAAAGGAAACTAAAAAAATTGCTGCTGGTAAAATTAGAAAGATTTTATTAGCATTGTTTGTATTGCCCTTACCATAGTTTTTCCATTCATTGCAAGGCACTTTGAAGCAACAAAATCATTTGAGCTCGAAGGCAGCTATTAACTTTCACTGAACACTGCAGTACAAGATATTCAAGAGTATCAAAAGTGTGGAAACCCAAACAGAAGAGCTGTTTCCATATCTCTTAAAATGAGCGTTAGGTACAACACAAGAGCTTGAAAAGTAGTTCTGGGAACAGTAACAAGGAGGAAAATGGGGAGTTCCCAAAGGACTGCAGGAGCCTCAAAAATAATTTCAAATTATTGAAGTCAGGAAATAAATTTGAAAATGTTTGGCCTAAAAAAGAAGCTGAAGGGTTGGGGGTGTTTGAGAACCACCACATTTCTACAGTAATGTTAGATGTGTGTAGACAACTGTAAAGAATGTTACTACTGGCGTGCTTCCATTTCAGGACTGAAATACAAATATAACAGGGTTTATTAAGACTCTCCAGGAGCTTATTGTACTTCTGGGCCCTCTTTTGGCTAAACACAGAAACACATATAGCAAAACAATAGGAATGTCAAAAGCACCTAAATGTGGAATGTAACTTCAATCAAATATTGTAATAATCGGGTCAATGTCTCAAGTCCCTGTGTGTTTACATGTAAGAATCAGCAAAATAGAAGTGGACAGAATGAGCTTTTCTCTGCTGGGCTTCATACTAACAAAAAAAAAAAAAAAAAAAGAGAGAAAACAATTACTGGGTTCAAATCTTGTGGATGTAGTGTTCATTAAATTGCATAAAATTCTTCAGACTAACCTTTTTTGAAATATAAAATATCCATGTTGTGGTGAAGCACTGGCACAGGTTGCCCAAGGAGGCTGTGGATGCCCCATCCCTGCAGGCATTCAAGACCAGGCTGGATGTGGCTCTGGGCAGCCTGGGCTGCTGGTTGGTGACCTGCACACAGCAAGGGTTGGAGCTGGATGAGCATTGTGGTCTTTTTCAACCCAGGCCATCCTATGATTCTATGATTCTATGGTGATAAATTTAGTTTATATTAAAACTAAGTTCAAAGAAGGACTAGATGGATCAACAACAATATTGCTTAGATGGATCAACAACAATATGGTTTAGTGCTAGTGGTGGCAATGGTGATGAGGAGACGGTTAGACTAGATGATCTTGTAGGTCGCTTCCAACCTTGTGATTCTATGATTCTATGATTCTATGCTGTTTGAAAGAAAAATCATATTTGAAGTAGGGCTAAGTTTATGCTACTTAGCAACATTAAGACATTTAGGGCCATATATAAACTGTTAAATTCAAAGTAGGCAGTTGAAGAACTCAATCTGTTCTACAACACTTTGTTAAGAATCACAAGCATACTTTTGCCCAGTGCCAACTAGTAGACTCTCAAAACAACCTCTTGTACATTTTTGAAGTTGGCCAAGATGTGATGGATGCAACAACCTTTATTTCAAAGGAAAGAAAAATTTTCTGCAAGGACATGAAACTGTGAAGTTCCATGTGGCTTCAGGTCCAGATGAAAGCATATTAATGTTGTTCACATAGAGATCTAGTGTTCCTTGCATAATGATAAATTATAAAAACAACCAATTTTTTTTTCCAAAAACTCAGCTAAAAGGCAGGTCAGAAAGGATGGAACACACTGATAACATAAGTGTAAAATCCTTTCAGTTTCAGCTAAATCTTCCTTTATCCCTATATATTCTTCTCTCAAGTCACTGTCAGACATCTTCTTTCAGACTTTAAGGACGTCCATGTGATGATATTTATTGGATTTGGTTTCCTGATGACCTTTCTGAAGAAATATGGATTCACCAGTGTTGGTATCAACATGCTCATTGCTGCCTTTGGTCTTCAGTGGGGCACTCTAATGCAAGGATTTTTGCACAGGGGTGAAAGAGGGAAAATTCATGTTACCATCGAAAGGTACGTATGAAATTTTCCAGAAATGAAACTTCTATCCCTTAAAATATCAGAATAAAGATACAAAATCTGTAAGATTAGTTTTCCAAACTCACGAATTTCTGATGGAACACTGCTATCAATCTTTTTAACTTTCACCCAAATAGCAGCACCTGCTGCACTGGGTCAAGGGAGTGCAGGATGAACTCTGAGCTGACAAGTTACATGTGGAACATAAGCCATGTTTAGAGAGACTGAATGGAATCTGTGGAGCTGTGCAAACAGGAGAATTCTCAGCAGTAGTGTGGCTCCCTCCTGCACCCAGCAGGCGCAGAGGGATCTGTTCTTCCATGGCACACGGGGTCACAAAGGAAAAGGCTTGAGCAATCTGTCAATCCACACATGAGGTTTTCTCCTGCTTAGGAAGGAATAATTGGCGCAAACACAGGGTTTGGAGCCCAACCTCAGAAGAAGGGACTTCACAAGTAATGCTTCTAGGTGCTTTTAATCTCTCCTCCATTGATCCATCTTGCTTCTAGCAGGGTCTCAGAGTGTTTCCATGTATGCAGTTCTGCTATCTAAGAAAACTTGCAGAAGATTTTGAAAGAAACCTCATCCCAAATGGTTAGGGATAGACATCTTCAACACACACCTCTTCCAAATTTTGACTGTGATCTCAGACAGCTGAGTAGGAGGCAATTTCCCCACATTTTCTCCTCAGCCTTCTATAAGATGCCCACACAACCCAACTAGGAAATTCTGATGTAATTTTTATCCACAAAAGAAGATTCTTTGTGACTTTGTTTGAAGATTTACTGCTCTGTCATTTAATGACATAACAAGTTTGAATACATCTTTATTTCAGCTCCCATTAAGCTGATTTTCTCTCTCATTTCTCGTTGGTTTGCTTGCATTTGTTTTCTCATCTTCAGCATGATAAATGCAGACTTCAGCACAGCAACTGCTTTGATTTCATTTGGAGCAGTCCTGGGGAAAACCAACCCTGTTCAGATGCTTCTCCTGACGTTTCTGGAGATCACAGTCTTTGCAGTCAATGAATATCTAGTTACGGAAATATTTAAGGTACAACTATTTACAAATAATTGTTTCCTGTTCTCACAATTTCCTGTTGTAACACGTTTTCACTGTGTAATGTTTCCAGTCATGCAGGAAATCAAATCCTCATTTCTTTGTTGTGTAAATCTTGTGCTACTATTTCGGGTCCCTGATACAGGCTACAGATATTGGAGCCTCAATGACCATCCATGCCTTTGGAGCTTATTTTGGTTTGGCTGTAACGCTCATTTTGTATCGTCCTGGCTTGAAAAACAAGCATGAAAATGAGGAATCTACCTATCACTCAGACATATTTGCCATGATTGGTAAGTAAAAGTAGCACAGCAAAAGTAATACTGGGAGATGAAGAGTCTTCTACCCCTCTTTCATTCATACGTTTTTATGATCACCTATTATTATACTTCCCCACCACTGAATGCTAGAAACCATACGGGTATTGAATTGGGTTTTCATCCATCTGCCCACCAGATCTATTCATAGGTCAATTTATAATTGAAAGCTATCTGCTCCATCAATAAATGACCAAAGATTTACATGCGAACTCCCTCACTAATGCATCCTGCTCTGGTATTTTCACAGTGATAGTGAGCTCTAACTGTGTGGGGCACAGTGAGGGGTTGCAATATGTTAAAGTAAGATTTGTCAGAACGCATCAAAATCCCAACTTTCAGAGTCAAAAGCTTCTGCATTGACTGCTATTTCTTCCAGCATTTTCAGTTATTTTACGTTTTCCTTGACCATCTTCCTCATTTCTTGTACTTAGTGCTGTTGTATTGGATCTTTCACAGTGAAACACCTCTTCTGACCAAATTGTTTTCATTTTGTTTTGACTTTTGCCCATCCAGGTACCCTGTTCCTTTGGCTTTTTTGGCCCAGTTTTAACTCTGCAATTGCAGATTTAGGTGACAAGATTAAAATAATTATCAACACTTACTACGCCCTGGCAGCATGTGCTGTTACAACATTTGCCCTCTCCAGCCTGCTGGATCAAAGAGGCAAATTCAGTATGGTAAGAGTCCTACCACTACCTCTGCTAAATCAAGAAATCCCCTATAATACAGGTGATAGATTGGTTCCCAGTGTCCATGAGCTAGCTGAAGCCCCTGCACTGCAGACACAACCAGGGTTGTCATGCTTCAGAAAGCTGCAGTGTCATATTGCACTCTGAGTCAACCCACTCTGCTTTATGCATGTGATTTGGTTCCCCAATGGGATCACTGCATCTGAAGAGAAGAATGCTCTTAGGTACTATCAGGATGGTTCCACTCTCTCACCTGCGGAACCTGCTGACATTGGTTCATTTAGAAGGACATTTGGGTCTTATTCAGAAGATGATCTTGCCTGAGTTTTTCTTTTGCAATACTCAAAAGAGGTCGACTGGCTTAGAACTGCTTTGAACCAGCACCCTCAACTCATAACAGGGAACTGTTTTAAATTCCCAATTGTTTTTCATTGTAAAAATCCCTTACAAGTCATTCAGCCCCAAAACAAACCTCAGTTCCATGTCTAACAGCTTCGTGGTTGCACACTGTGCAGGTTCTCATTCAAAATGCCACCCTGGCAGGAGGAGTAGCAGTGGGTACCTGTGCTGACCTGACAATACACCCTTTTGTCGCCTTGTGCATTGGGAGCATTGCTGGGATCATCTCTGTCCTGGGGTTCCACTTCCTGACTGTAAGTATCCAGGACCTGCCTCTGCTCTCACTCACATACTGCTTCACCAACTTCAGTGGAGCTTGCTTTCTTTAATAGAAAGAAACTGGCTGATAAACTGCAAAGAATAAATTCTCTATTATTTTCAAATTATTATTTTGAAATGCATGTGATTAAAATATATTCTTATGAGATAACTTCAGAGGCTGAAAACATTGGGAACATCACTGACATTCTGTGTTCTGTAGTGCTATATTTATGATGGGAACTTGGACACCTGTGGCATTAGAGGTACTCACTTGATTTTGAACTACATTTCCTCTCATTTCAGCCTGTTTTGGCATCCAAGCTGAAAATTCAAGACACATGTGGAGTCCATAATTTACACGGCTTACCCGGAATACTGGGAGGCATTGCTGGCATCATAGTAACTGCAGTACAACGTGAAACTAAGTAAGTAATATTCAGAAAAGAGAAAGAAGTTTCCTTTACTGAAGATCTATTTTAATTTTTCACTCTCCTTGGATCTAATTATGATTTATTTTCAGAAAACCTACTGTAGGGAACTGCTTTCACAGGGGTTGAACTAGATAACTCCCAGAAGTCCCTTCCAACCCCTACAGTTCTGTGATTCTTTGAAATTCACCTTTGATTAGATTTCAGATCAGTGTTCTGAAACACTGGAATAGGCTGCCCGGGGAGATGGTTGAGTCACTACCCCTGGATGTGTTTAAAAACTGTTTGGATGTGGTGCTCAAGGACGTGATTTAGCAGAGGGTTGTTAGTTAGGGTGGGATGGTTGGGTTGTGGTTGGACTTGATGATCTTTAAGGTCTTTTCCAACCTGAGGAATTCTATGATTCTATGATTCTGATTTAAATGGGACTGTTCTTGGTATCCTGTCATTAACATGGTTTATATGCAAAGCTTGTTCCACATTCAAAAATCAGATAAAAATTTACACAGTTGTCAAAAAGTAAATAAATCACCCTTCAGAAGTAGAAAAGTCATTCTCCTGCTTCTGCAATCAAACCTCAGGCAACAGAAATACTTACAAGAAAAACGCCAATCAACAAAATGGGCCATTTCCATTCTCTTAAGAAGATCACAAGAAGATGGAATGGTAGTCTTTTTGATAAAGGGAAACATTTTATCAAGATTGAGAACATGTCAGTAACCTTTTCAAAGAACTTGTGTTAAACTATAATCCAAAACAAAACCAAAATACAGGCTGTTCCATATGGTTTTCTGCAGTGGCCATGGCAATGAAAGGTTATTTTCCAGCAAGTCGTTCTGTCCAGCAGAGAGCAAACATAAAGTTGTGAAACCAAACCTCACTCTGTACTTTCATAGTTTTCAGTGTTGACTTGTTTTTCTGTCTGTTTCAGGGGAGGTGTCCAACTTACAGCAGGCAAACAGGCTGCTGCCTTGGGCAGTACAATTGGAATTGCACTGCTTGGTGGAGCATTGACAGGTCAGTTCACATACAGTTCACGTACACAGTTCATAATTGCACACAGCAGTTGAAATATATAGGATGTTAGAGATGTGCTCGTGGAGAATTTCAATCAATCTATCAATAATTTCACCAGAAAACTAGGAAATGGAAAGACAGAAAAGAGTAAATCATGATAGCACACTAGCAGAATCATGAATATGGGAAAAGCAGTTTCTCAACCAGTCTTCAAACAGCAGATAGATATCTTACTGAATCTTACCTTCAAAGATACTGGTTTGTATACAAAAAGCACTGTTGTTGCTCCAGTGGAAGTTCTGCTTTCGATTCAGAAACTTAAAATGCTGAACAGAAACTAGTTTGAGATTAACTCACGACCCATTAGGTGTCCCATGTTTTCATGTCATTCTGTTACTCCTATATAGATGTCTCATTCTAGAGTAGGGTGTCTGAGACATCCGTAGTGAACTGGTAGATAGAACACAGGATTTACAGGAGAGCTGTGTCTGGCCCATATCCATTGGGATCTCAACCATATTTCCCATCTTTTCTGCTTTGTATATGGAGAAGAGCGGGCTGAGATATTTTAGTGATTTCTTTTAATTTAATATTGTTAACTAAATCACTATAACATATTTCCTCCCAAAAGCTTGATAGTGGTGCCTTCCTTAGTCCCAGAGTTGTACTAAAGGACATGATTTAGTGAGGAAATGTTGGTGATAGGTGGATGATTGGACTGGATGACCTTAGAGATCTTTTCCAACCTTGGCAATTCTATCATTCTGTAATTCTATTCCAGGACATATCTGAAGAATGTATTTTTGGATATAGTTTTTTTCAACTTCTGAGGTCTTTTTATCTGCAGGTGCTATTCTAAAGCTGCCCATCTGGGGACAAGTATCTGACCAGAACTGCTTTGATGACTCCGCTTATTGGGAGGTAAGATACAAACCACTGTTAAAACAAAGGAACTATATTTTCATCATGTTAGAAGAGATACAACACATGGAGGTTTGGACATCAGTCAACTTCCAAACACGTTGCCCAGCCTTAGGCTGTGAATTTATCAAGGCAAACTACTGGATTTATTTTTGACCAGCCAACTAGTCATGCTTTGAATGAAAAGCAGAAATAAAGCCAAGAAATTGAGGCCTCAGTGGAGTTCTTTACATCTGCAGAGAGAAAATTGGAAAGGCAAAAGCCCAACTTGAACTCAACCTGGTCGCTGGAGTCAAAAGGAACCAGAAACTCTTTTACAAATATATCAATAGTAAGAGGAGGACCAAGAAGAATCTCACAGAATCACAGAATCATAGAATGGCCTGGATTGGAAGGGATCTCATGAAGCTCCAACTGCCTGCCACAGGCAGGGCCACCAACCTCCCCATTTCACAGCAGCCCAGGCTGCCCAGGGCCCCATCCAACCTGGCCTTGAACACCTCCAGGGATGGACGGGGCATCACAGCCTCTCTGGGCAGCAGTTCCAGCACCTCACCACTCTCACAGCACAGAACCTCCCCCTGACATCCAACCTCAGTCTTCCCTTCCTCAACTTCAAACCATTTCCCCTTGTCCTGCAGTTATCTGCCTTTCGAAGAGTTGATTCCCCTCCTGTTTGTAGGCTCTCTTTAGGTACTGCAGGCTGCAATGAGGTCACCTCGCAGCCTTTTTTTCTCCAGGCTGAACAAGCCAGCTCCCTCAGCCTGTCTTTTAGTGGAGGTGCTCCAGTCTCATGATCATCTTTGTACCCTCCACTGGACCCTCTCCAACAGCTCTGTTTTTCTTGTTTTGTGGGCTCCAGACCTGGACACAGTATTGCAGATGGGGCCTCACATGAGCAGAGTAGAGAAGGACAATCACCTCCCTGTCCCTGCTGGCTACTCCTCTTTTGGTGGAGCCTAGGATACCATTTGCTTTTTGAGCTTCAAGAGCACACTGCTGGCTCATGTTCAGTTTTTCATCCATCAGGACCCCCAAATCCTTGTACTGCAGGGCTGCTCTCAAGGACCACTCCTTCCAGTCCGTATAAATGCCTGGGATTCCTCTGGCCCAAGTGGAAAACCTTTCACTTTGCTGTGTTCAACTGCATTAGATTCACCCAGGCCCATCTTTCAACTCTGTTGAGGTCCTTCTGAATTGGCGTCCCTCCCTTCCACAAAGAAATCTCCAATCTTTACTGGATGAGGCTAGGAATGTGACCACTGAGGATAAGGAAAAGGCAGAGGTTCTGAATGCTTTTTTTACATCTGTTTTTAAAAGTCACACCAGTTATCTTCAGGGTACTCCAGTCTCTGACCTGGTAGTCTTGGCTGGGGAGCAGACAAAACCTCCCACCATTCAGGAGGACACAGTCAGAGACCTACTAGTCCAACTGGACTGCCACAAGTCCATGGGGCCGGATGAGATTCACCCGACAGAGCTGAGGGAACTGGTGGAAGTGATAGCTGAGCTGATTTCCATCATCTATCAGCGCTCCTGCTGATAGATGGACCGGGGGGTATTGATTGTTAATGGCAGTTCTGCAAGCTATTTGACATTGGAAAAGCAATAAGTGCTGGTTTTCAACAAGGTCTGAATAATCTGAATAGCCCTGTCATATAAAAGTGATACAAACCGACAGGAGAATGAAAGGTTTAAATCAAGGGTGAAGAACTAACTCACAGCCTGTGTTGACCGGCAGTAGTAATTAGTCTGCTCACTTGAAGGTCCTTTAGTGTCAGTAAACTCCTCACAATTAATAAATAGACACATAATATGTACAAACAGAATTACCTTCTCAGTATGCTTCAGTCTCCTGATATCTTTATCTCATCAAATGAACTGTTCTTTGATTTCCATGACAGGTTCCAGAAGAGGAGAAGCTGCATGAAATTAATTCCAACAACTATGATGAGCACAGCAGATTTGAAGCTATCATGTAGGAAAACATATATAAGTCCTTATGATGCTCTTTTCTGTTTCTAGTGCTAAAAACCAACTCCCCAGAATTTTTCTAACCACAAATATCTTCCAGAAGGAGCTGTAGGTAGCTGTAATTCTGTAATATTTTTTTTTAAGTTTGATTTTAGCATAAATTGTCATTATGTCAGGCTCAGGAGAACCAATTTGATTTTCCCAACGTTCGTTCTTTTGGAATGAGGATTGCTAAAATCTATAAAGATTCTGTCTCCAACTTTCCCTCCATCAACCAAGCAGGTGAACTTATTGTAGAAGGAAATTTCCAAGTCAGGACTTTCCCCTGATGAACCCATGCTGACAAGGGCTTAGTTATCAGATCAAAGGGGGAGACTGTAATACAAAATAGCATAGATATTATTCCTATTCTGCTTGCATATTTTTTCCTCAGAAAACTATAAAGATAAGTACAGCTGAATTCCTATCTGAGGATTCAGGAGCTCATTTATTCACATGAAACCATGAGTTAATTGCACTGAGAGCTGACTGCAAAGAAATGCCTCCATGAGGAATAACTATTTACTATGAAGAAATCCCCCAGAATGGTCCCCTCAGGAGTTACGTTTTGCTCATTGAAACAAATGGAAAAAAAAAAATAAACTTTGTGCTTCTGTTGTCCAGTTCTCTCAATCTTTCTGTAGCAAACTGAGCACTCACCTGCTGTTTCCTGACCTCTGTTGACAGGTGAGGGGTTACCTCTTCAGGCTCCCTCAAAACTAGAACAGAGAGATGAGCCCTTCTACATGGAAATTTATGCCACGTAACCCAGCTGTTGTTTTCTAAAAAGTCCTTGTTTCTTTTTGATAAAGAAGAGTCCTAGGTCAGCCTAGGAAACTGTGTAAGATGGTTTATAATGTTATTAAATATATATTTTGATGCAGTGAGGTAATAACAAGGATGAGTGTTCCCCTACACCCTGAAAACATCAAGATGATGGAAGAAGAACCAACGAACTTTCATTAGCATGGAGGAAGCAAAGCATAACATCAACAATATTGATAAAGGTCACCTGTGTTGAACTTCATGTCACAGTTATGAGTGGGGGGATGTATCCTGCAGGGAAAAGCTATTCGTAGCCCATCACCCTTATCTGTAATGAACACATGCTACTCAGCTCACTCACCATCTGCTGGCACTGCAGAAGCCAGAGACTTACTGGAAGGAACCAGCAAGGCTGAGAAGGCAAGGACAGTGGAATTTGGGGGTTTATTTACTTCTCCTAGTGCATTTCTGGAGACAAATCCAGTCCCACAGCATCCTTCCAATAGCCTGTCAAGTCCTGTGTATGCAAGCAAATTCTGTACATGTTCTGAAATTCTGCACAGATCTAACCCTTGACCATCTGTAAGTAAAAAAACTCCGCATCACCATTTCTTTTCATAACCTAAGAGTCAGTATTATCAATTGTTAATAATTACATCTTATCTGTGTGTGGATGGAACGATGCTCACAGTACCTTTTTACCTGCTTTGCAGAGGTACAGAAGAAACACACCAATTAGCACATAGTTGGACATAGGCTTTAAACATTTTCTGGGGTGTCATCCAAGAAAACAAAATGACCTGGCCTTTACTCCAAATGCCAGCAGCAGACTCGGGGCCAAACAGGGAGAGATGAACCTAGATCTTGCTCTAGATCCTCTTCCATGCTCCCAGCCAGGTATAAGTAATCACAGCAACATTGGAATGGGAGGGGATCCTGAAAGGCCATCTGGTCCCACTCCCCTGCAGTGAACAAGGACACACATAGCTCCTTCAGGTGCTCAGAGTGCCGTGCAGCCTGACCTGGGGTGTCTCCAAGTACAGGGAATGCACGACACCGCTGGGCAACACGTACAAGTGTTTCACTGCACATCAGCTCCTTGCCCTGCTGGCCATGCTTGTTTTGATGCAGCCCAGGATACGGTTGGCTTTCTGGGCTGCAAGGGCACATTGCTGCATCACGTACAGCTTCTGACTGCCAACGCCCACCGGTCATTTTCAGCAGGGCTGTTCTCTATCTATTCATCCCAAAGCTTGTACAGTACTGGAGGTTGATGGGACCCAGGTGTAATCCTTGCACTTGGTACAGTTGAACCTCACGAGGTTCACCTGGGCCCACTGCTCAGCCTATCTAGATCTCTCTGGATGGCAACCCATCCTCTGTGGGTGCTGACTGCACCACACAGCTTGGTATCGTCCACAAACGGCTGAAAGTATGCTCTATCTCACTGTTGATGTCACTGATGAAGATATGGAGGAGCATCAGTCCCAGCACTGAACCCTGAAGGACAACACGTGCCACTGATCTACAACAGGACAGTGAGCCACTGACTGTGCTTCAGCCATCTTTCTTCAGTAACCATATTCCCCAGGCATGGCTTTCAACCCAGACATAATCCTACAGTCTCTTCTCTCTTATTCTTCTTGAAACTGTCAGATGACAAAAGTAAGTAACACAGCTCAAGTCTGAATTTCTTTCTCCTCCTACCTCTAAAAGAAAGTTTGCTGTGGCTCTCTTGAGCTTAGAAACCCAAGTACCTTTGCTTTTCTGCAGTGGATGCACCACTCACTCAGCGACAGAGCACACACCAAAACTGGATGTTGAGACTAAGAGATTTCTGTCTATTCTAGGTCCTGCAGGTTTTGTCCCTCACTTGGCAGTCTTATCTCTTCCTTGGCTATCGACATCAAGCTGTGCAAAGGCAGATCAGATAGTGTCAGAGTAAAGGCCTCCAAGAACTGAGCTCACTGACTTCAGCATGACAAGAAGGATTTAGGTTTCTAACCTACCTGAGGAAGGACAGAAATAGGTAAGAATAGGGGTGAAGGAAGTGGAATGAGACTGGAAACAAAGAGGCAAAATTGGAGTGAGAACAAGAACCAGTGGATGTATCAAAAGTTGTGAATATAATTTTATGATGATAAGAAGTAGTGATCCTTGGGTTAAGTTGCCTGAGGAAAGTTTGGGAGTTATAAAGAAGATTGTTTTAAAGAACAGAGCATTTAAATGAAACAAATGACCCTTGCATCTCTTTGGCACACACGCTTCTTTAGTGCCTCCTGTGTTTGACTGATTTCAATTTCAAAGGTCAAGGCAGAATTTGAGTTGCCCTTGCTACATTTATGCCACCAGATATCTCTACCAGTGTGAAACACTAATTGACAGATAACTCGTTAAACAATTACTAGGAGAGCATAAAATTTGTGTATTTTGGTACTGCCCAGTAGGTATTTTATGAGGGTAAAATTGAGGAGAGTTGTCACTTCCAACATTTCTGAGAAGTGGAGCTCATCCCTCAACTTCTACACCTCTTGGTGCAGAAGTGCCATTATTGCTTGAAAGAGCTTCAGGTAGGAGCTTGCTTGAATTATCATCTCTTCAGTTCAGCTTTTGCTGAAAGGCAATGGATTGGGCCAGCCTTGTTCCTGTGGGCTTACTGTTCATCCTAATTCTCCTGCTGAGTTTGAAAACACCACGTTTCTGGAGGAGCCAAGTGAAATTCCCCCCAGGACCGCAGCCTTTACCCATCATTGGAAATCTGCACATGATGGACCTAAAGAAACTTGGCCAGACAATGCTACAGGTAACTTCTGTTGTTCCTTTCCTTAGAGCTCTCACTCCAAGTCTGTCACTGACTTCTTGAAAGGGATACAGAGATCTCAAGGCATGGAAATTGCAAAGACAACAGTATTATTCTTTGCAGTGGCTTCTCTCCCTACTGTGTGATACTGTGTAGTGCAGAGCAATTGGCTTCCAATCACGCTATTGAGGGAACTGAGCTAATTCTGTGGAACAGAGGAAATGTTAGCACTCTTCAGGCAAGGGTAACAACAAGAGAGGGATCCCGGATCTCTCATAATTACAGAAACTTCACCAGGGACTGCAGAAACAGCTAGGGAAGGGACCAGAGCTTTTTGAAAGCTGTTTGCTGGACTCAGTCATTGGGAAACTGGCAAACAAACTTTTGATCCTCTCTCTTGATGGGAAAACTTTCTGGTTTCCCAGAGCAAACTAGGAAAAAAACCTCACTGCTTATTCTTTCGTACCTTGTAGCAGGAAAGTCAGGGCTCTTGGGATGATCGTGTTTAGCAGTCAGATATTTCAGGATTTGCGCATCCCTTGCTGAGCTATCCCTCAAAGCCATGAACAGCAAACATAAGGGTTTCTGGCAGTTCCCGTGCCTTGATGTATTACCAGCTTGGAAATCAATCTCATTTTGGTTAGCTATGCATTTCCAATGAGTGACAGAATCAGTGTCGTGGACATTATTAGGCCCTCTGAAAATCTTTTATTCAAATACCCAATTAAGGATTACAGATCCTCTCGTGATTCTTTTAAATCACAGAAGCTCCAACACATGCAGCATGAATTCCCAACACTTTGGACAGCAAATGCAAAGCCAGTGCCATGTGGGAACAAGAACATTGAACCTGCTGAATAACAAGTGCTTTTTGCTTTGCTGAACATCATCCTCTGCCTCTTTCTTTTCATTCTACTAGTTTTCTGAAACGTATGGTCCAGTCTTCACAGTTCAGCTGGGACTGAGGAAAGTGGTGGTGCTGTCAGGATATGACACAGTGAAGGAAGCTTTGGTGAATCATGCAGATGCATTTGCTGGGAGGCCTAAAATACAAATCGTAGAAGAAACAGCAAAAGGAAAAGGTGAGTGGGCCGTTCTCATATTTTCTGTCCCCGTCCTTTTCAAGAGGCGCAGGTGAAAGGGAAGCATGATGAACCTGATGAACCTCAGCAGTCCATCAGTGTGAAACCATCACAGAGTGCATGAAGACTCTTGGCTTAAACTGTTGTGTATGTGTTTTAATCTTCCATTTCAGGAGTTGTATTTTCTCGTGGAGAAAACTGGAAAGTGATGCGAAGATTTACTCTTACAACCTTACGAGACTTTGGGATGGGAAAGAAGGCCATAGAAGATCATGTTGTAGAAGAGTACGGATACCTGGCAGACGTAATTGAGTCACAGAAAGGTAGGGAGATTCTTAATTTGATAGCATGTACCTGACTTTTCTCTGAAAGCATTTTCAGGAATACCAAAGGATGAAGGAAGAAGAGATACATCATTCTCCACTATCAGTGCTGTGATGAGTACACATGAGTTGTGTCTGTCTCCTTGTACCTCTACCTGGCAATTGCCTGGTGTGTAAATGAAAACTTTTATTGAAGCACTCGAAGGCAAACACAGAGTTCAATTCAAAAAAGTCCAGTTGAGGAAAAGGCCTTATTATGCCACGTGTAGCACCATAAAGGACAGACTTGGACTCGGGAGAAAAGTAGAAAGCAATTGCAGGTTTGCACATATCTAGACTGAAAAATGGATTGCCCGTCGAGTCATATGTCTGGAAAGCACCTTCCAGTAGAAGACAGAAGATTCCTTTATACATTTCTCCAGCATCATCCAGGGCTATTTGTCACTAGGTTAGTTACCAACAGCAGCACTTAGAATGGAATCACAGACTGATGGAGTGGCCTGGGTTGGAAGGAACCTCTACAGACGATCTAGTCCAGGTTCCCTGGGAAATGTAGGAAAACCTTCCACTAGATCAGGTTGCTCAGAACCTCCAACCAGCCTGGCCTCGAGTTCCTCCAGTGATGGCACCCACAACTTCTCCAGGCGTCCTGC